GACATGTTGATGCACATCAGCAACAGAAACACATGCAACAGAGTGTGTGCGAGGATTATTTGTGAATGGCAGAGTAACATGTTTATTTCTCACCAACAACAAAAACTGTGCGCTGTCTGTGTGCAATGTTACATGGTGGGAGGTCTATCTTTGATTCACGCGCAAGATGTCAACCTTGCTCTCTTGCGCAATCCATTTCTTCCACAACAGGTCCTACCCACTTTGTACAATGTTGATGTTTATGGTGGAGCCATTTTGTATAGCAAAGAGTTGCATAATCCATGGGTGTTGGATATCATGGATGTAACAACCAAGAGTTAGTTACTCTGGCGCACACAAGAACACACTATAAAGGTAGTGATGGGGGAGTGGTTACCCCTTAAGCTGCAGAGAGTTTGTTGGTAAACAACAGGAGGACTTGCTGAGGAGTCTCCTGGATCTATTGGGGTATATATACTAATACAGAGGGTTTGTACTTATGTACTGTACAGTTGATAAAGTCAGTGGCTGATGATGTCATGGGGCCTAGCCCGCATGACCAGCTCCACTGTGTGAGAGAGTTGTATCTAAAATAAGAAGAAGGCAACGCAGCACGAGAAAGAGGAGTTTGAACAAAAGGGGAAGTGCCGTGTGGCACCATGTGTGAAAGCTAAAGTATACAAGTTTAAAGCGGAGAATGAAAATGAAGGAAAGGTCCCAAAATTGTGTTATCATAACAATGGAGGTCTGTACATCTTGTCAGAAAGCCATTGTGGATAAAGGACGTCAGCCACTTGATTCCCTTGCAAATTTTGAATATTATGGGCAGGAGCTCCTGATTTGAGGCACGCATTTGAATTGAATTCAATATTTGAACAAGCTATCATTGCCCGTGCAAGGTGCACTCAAATTTTGTACCTTATATCTGAGAAACAAAGTAGGGGAGGTGCCGCCACTCTTTCTCAAAAATACTTTAGAGACAATGTAGCAATTTGACCCCAAGATTCTGTGAGCCTCTGAGAGTTTTTACCACCTTCACGCGGAGAAATATTGCAGTCCATGTGTGCTTTGTTTGTCGGCTCGGATTCTCAAGCGACTCATGAGAACATTGGGAGACTCTCTCCTATTCTTGTGGGTAAACAAGCTATACATGACATGGTGAATTTCTTAATAAAAGAAAATCCTTGGTACCGTGCTGCAGGGGTGCAGTTGAGTGAAGACAATGTACAGGATTTATATCTTGGAATGTCACAGACTGGTATGCCTGCTGCTGTCAACATCAATGTCCTTCCACATGCTCCTGGAGGGGATGGTAGCAGCGCAACAGCAGATTATACAGATTGTATGGATGTTGACCCACCAGAGGAGAACTCTTCTGACATTTTTATGGAAGCAGTGGGATATACCTTACACCAGGGGAACAAAACAATGTTTCCACCAGATACAGGTTAAATATATTTGAGACTCAGACACAATATTTCCACAATATAAATGTGTGATACATTGTAGTACCATTTTAATAACATTTATTATGTCTCCACCATGTTTTTAGCAAAAATATTTTGAATAAGGCTAAAATGAAAAAGCCATATGTCTAGCAAAAACATCTTATATATATATTTAATAGTTTTTTAATATGTCTGACTTGTATTCATATAATACATGCTGATATCATCTTAAATGTTCTTCAAGATACATCTTGGTGTCATTCAAGTCACATTCAAGATGTTTTTATAATGTGTACTATATATTATGGGTAGTACCATATGTAAAACATTGTAAATGTATTTACAATATAACTACACAAGAAACATGGTGATTTCATATAAGTATAAATTTGATTGTATCTTGTCATTATATTCTATATACATACTAGAATAATTGTGACTTTATTTATTATGTAGTTAAAATGTTTCCTGATAAAATTTACTGTGTTAATAAAATTAACATTATGAATGTCATCAATTGATACATACAATATGATACCACTCTGTAACCAAAATGTAACTAACAAAAATATTCAAAATGTATTTGTAAACTGTCAACTATTGAATTGACAGTAGACAGTTGACAGTTGACAAAAATTTCCCAAACAGAGTATTATACTCATCACTTATGCAGCAGTATTTTCTATTAATCAAATTAACAGGTTATGAGCTCAGCAAATACTGCTAATATGCCCCTTAGTAAAAAGGTGTTTTTTTTCCCTATTTTAAACCTTAATAGGAGAAACACAAATTGGCTGCTTTATAAAAGTTGTTTTGGGTGAATAGTTAGGTTAAGATACTTTTTAATTATGTGCAAAAGGAATAGAAGGCAATCCCAAAAATATAAATCTGACTCTTATAGTTACTTTATCAAGAACAATATCATTGCACTCAATACAAAAGAACCAAAGGCCTATAAACATGAAGTCGGAGTATATAGACAAATTAAATGTATGGTCTGGTTTTAACACTGGATGCTTTAAGAGGTAGAATTGAACTGCCAGATCACTCCTTTTCCAAGAATATTTGAATACTTTGATACCAAGAAAATAAGAATAAAGTCATAGTGTCACACCTTTTACCCATATATGGAAGAGCCTCTCTATTATTTTAGATAATTTATAAATATGCCATTTTTGGAATATTTTTATTAAGTCAAAGAATAGCACTATACTTGTTTGCTTGTCCTATTTATGCCACAAGTCAGAGAGAGACCTGAGCCCAAATCTAAGTTCCTAATATTGTGGTTGTCCCAGGTTGATGCTTCTCATGTTCTGCCATTCAGCATGCTCTTGTTGTGCTTGCTCTTATATAATACTCTAGACCTCCACTCTAATATGTTTCCCTGGACCCCAGTCTGCTATATGTTCCTTTAAATGTTTCTTCATTGTTCACATAGACTCTGATTTAGACCACATGATATGCTTTAATACATATAATTATTTTATTCCTTGCTAGATATTTGTCTACATAGAACTCCATCTTCTCTGATAGTATATAAAGTTGTAACACCTATACTCCATTGTTTAGTTTAAAAAAAACAGCTAGATTCAATAACAAGATATTCTTTAACCTTACTACACACAGCAGTTATAAATGTGGGAGAACACTTCTGAAATATTTCCAATAACCTCACATAGTAATCCCATCTTGAAAAAGGTGTAATTAGTATAAGATTACTGTGATTGAGATAACATACCTTGCAGAAAATGCTGTCTATGAGACCTATATCATTATATTGTTAATGGTGCACTTAATAAAATATGTTTGATTTAGAAAAGTTCTGTTAGTTCTGGTATAAAAATTATTTAAAAAAGTTTACCAAGTGTACTCCCAGAGCCAAAATAAGGACATCGTCAGGACCATGACTTAAAGAGTTGTTGGAGGTTAGAGGTAGGAGTTAGGTCTGGAAGAGCGCTTGTCGCTTCACTCAAGTTCTTGAAAGCAATGTTCTCAGGCCAGCCCCTAATATCAACTCTGTAGCGTTGAACAACATTCTGCCAATACTGTGCCCATTGCATCTTGGCATTGGGATTGTCAGTAATCTCAGCTAAGGCAGGTTAGTCAATTCACTAGGCAACAGAAAAGATGCTTTACTGACCAAGCTTTGTTGTTATTTCTGTGCAAATCTGTGCTCGGACACTAACAATACACTGTTGGTGATTACTTGCTGCACCTGCTGATCATCTAGCCACTCCTTGACCTTTTTGCAGGTATGCTTGGGGTCATTGATCAGGAGGATTGAAACCATAATACTACAGGGTATTCAGCAGCTTATCCTTCAAAATTTGAAGGTAAAGGTCCCTATCCATCCTACCATCAATTTTAGCAGCATACCCAACTCCCTCCCAAGTCATACAGCCCCAGATCATCATAGAACCTCCTCCAAACTTGACAGCTCCCTGTACCAATCTATTACTGAGCCCTTCACCTGGCTTTTTCCACACCCACTTGGGTCCATCTGACCCCAGGCGATTGATTTTGGTCTCATCAGATCATACAACCTTCTTTCAATCCTCTGCAGTCTAGTCCTTGTGAGCATGAGCAAAGTCCAAGATAGCCTTACTATGCTTGGCAGAGAGAAAAGGGTGTTTCCGCTTGACCACAGCCTTCATGCCAGTCTTTTTCAAGTGCTGGCAGACAGTGTTTGGGGAGAGATGTTGGTTGATGATGTTGGTAAAAGCTTTGGTGATCTGGACAGCATTTTCCGCCTTGCAAGTGGAGATGAGATGCATAGCATGGCGGACATTGGCAGGAGAAAGCTTAGATGGACAACCTCCAAGAGACGTTTGGAGCTCAGAACACTCCTTGGAGCAAAGTCTAGAGATTGTAGAGACATGAACACCAGTGGTAGAGGCAATGAAGTGAGCAATTTGACCTGCATCAAGGAGGTTAAGAATCTGGTTCTTTTGAGCAGGAGAAAGGGATTTCATGATGATGGTGGTTGAGAATAAAGAAGTGTGTGAACTTTTTAGATATGTATCTCTGTTTGTGGGACCAAACAAAGCCAGATATTCTATAATATCATAGTGATCTCTGCTTCCAACTCAAAAGTGAAAAAACTGTTGCAATAGTATTGCTGAAATGGACATATCTCCACAGCCGCTGGGACAAATCACATGACCCAGGAACCATTTTGTAGCCAAGACCAATTACCTTTGCTGACCCCACCAAAGTCAAGCAACATTCCCATGCCTGTTAGTGGTGCGCTTTGTGCACCATGTTTAGGCCAAACATTGCAATGGTTGTTGGAGTCACTGTAGATTGTAACTGTCTTTGCCTTGAAGGTAGGTTGATAGACACCAAACCTCAACATTTAGATGCTGGACTTCTTCCTGTGCACGACATATCTTGAAGTACTGATCCATTGTGTATTGGCCTGCAGGGGCTGCCCAGGGTCAGGAACTTACAGTATATCTTGCCAGGTGCCATGGAGAAGATTGAAGACAGATATAAATGCGTATTCAACCACATCTTTCCATTCCAGTGTGCAACATGGGGGACAAAGGGCTTTTGTAGCTGTGTTGTACCTATTGAGAGCTGTATGATTGGAACTTGCGCATGGCAACAAGTCTGCTAGTGCTTTGCCACTCAGGTGAATCTGCTGTCCACCTTTCAGTAATGTTTAGCTTAAACTCTAGTTGCTGGATGGCCTTGAGTTTTGAGTTATGGTCTTCAATTACATGTTGGTGTGCAGTTTCTAACTTATATGTTAGTTGTTCAAAATCCTATGGGCATCCATACTTTGGATTCAGTGATGAGATCATCTCTGTATAATTGAATATCATATCACCTCAACAAATTGCAAATATTGTACTCACTCGCTAGCTTGCAATTGGATCAGATTCTGCCAGCATTCCATTTGTAAAATTTTCTCCTCAGGCTCCTTATGCAGGCTTTGCATGTATTCCTTTTCTTCCTTGAGCCATCCTTCAAAAATGCCTTCATCAATGACCTAGAGTTTGTTCATAGCGCATGTCACATTAGTTGGTCCAGTAGTGAGTATGTCTAGTGTTTGCTTGTAGTTATAAAATGGACAGGTACCTAAAATCAAATAACTGTAAAATGGTGTTAAATCAGAGAAATATATTACAAACTCACTAAGATTTTGATAAACTTCAGAAGTATTGTTATGTTCAAGGTATGTTGTAATTCCTTGTTGCCTATGGAAGATGCTGGCATAACGTGTTGAGGCTGCCAAAGTGTTTGACTTGGAGAATGCATGCTCACAACCTCCTAGGCCTCCAAGGCCAAGCCCCTTGGTGTAAGTGACAAGGTGGTCGATGGGTGTGGCCATGAAATGCCCCCACCAGACACATATGATTCAGAAGATGGGCTTTTTTTCCAAGGGGGCTTTTGTGAAGAGCAACCCTAAACTTACAGTTTATATCAAACCCCTCAGCAAGGCCATCTCCAAATATATTGAGTAGTTTCTACTACAGCCAAAGGGTAATTAGCACTGTGGAATGGGAATGTATTGAATAAGGCAGAAATAAGACAATAAATCACTAAATACTTACAGCTTGCCACTTTTTACCATATTGGCAATGAGGAATGAGAATCTGTGCCTACACAATGCCAGGGAAATCCCAATTTCTTTGTCGTTTTAAAAAAAGCACATTGTTAGAACCATCAAGATCAATTATAGTCGATGTACCTCATTGATCTGGCTCAACATCTCATTTAGAATACCATTTGCCCATTTATTGACATACTCCCTGGATAAATAATGGTCCCCATGGATTTCCTGAGGATTTATGAGTTTGGCTGGAGGCCATAGCATTTTTTTGTCCTTGTCTCCAGCAGGTGAACTTCTGACAATTCTCTTGAGGGAATCATTACTGTCCATAGTATACAGCATCTTGAAAGGTGGGCTTGTTTCCTAGTTTGTACATACAAGCAGGGCAAACATTGCCAGTTAGGAGCATATTGTGGTGCTGCTGGGACTTCAATAGAAGCCTTATCATGCTGCAAGGCATCTCAGGAGTTTGACATGGAATACCCCAATAGAATCAATGCTGGATGGTGTGGACTTGGCTCCAATGGCAGTAAATAAGTCTCTGGACTACTGTGATCATTTTCTGGATGATACAGACTGGGGTGGATCTTTCCAGGATTGTGGTTGTTGGGAACCACCACTGGTTGAGACATAGATGTGGGGACTGGCTGTATGCAGGCCACCATCTTATTTAGAGGAGATAATATCTGAGGGATAGATGTTCAAGGGTGGGTATAAGGCTGGTGTACTATTGTTGTTAAGCCTAAATGAGAAGAGGGAGTATTGAGGGGAGGAGTAGACCCCAGAGTCCCCCGACCACTATTCCGCGGCATATCCCCTAGACCACAAAACTCTGGAAAGATGAATTGCGACATGCAATAATGTTAGTAACTGGACTACACTACTGGAGACCTCGAAGCTAGAAAGGAACACTGATATAAACATACATCATCCAAGTATATGAGCTGCCATAGACAGGGGTTAGTAGAAGTGCATGATGATTTGAGTGGGTGTTTGGAGCTCACCTAGCAGAATCACATGTGATGATGATGTGAAATACCAGCTCATGATAAGCTCAATACTTGGGGGTAAGCATTCATATATAGCTGGTAGTATGAGATTGTAAGATTGTAAGATTAGTTTAGACAATGTTGACTCACATGTAATGTATTTTGTTCCTATGAGTTTCCTCCAAATCATAATGGGAATCTGGAAGATGAGGGAATTAGAACATGTCCAGATACTTGTCTTCCTTAAAGAATCCTGCCAGAAATGATCAACTGGACAGAACATTGTCAACTGTGGAGCGTACATAATTTTGAGGAGGTAGCATCCTCCAGATTATCAAGCCAATAATGATCAGATATTCTGAAATGAGTGAGGAAATACTACAAGGAATATATTAACCATGTACTTTGAGCCTCATATCCTCCCTTTCTAACCACATCATTTGCCCAATACCTTGCACATCTACATACAATGATGATGGGTGAAGATCCTACAAAGAGTGGGGCAAGTACCACCATGCTAGGTGGTATCATTTGCAAAAAAACATAGCCAACTTTGAATTTATCTAGAGGATCAACAGTGCAAGCACAGTAATAGTTGTAAATGGGGTGTATCAAAACTGACCTTGTTACAATGCACCGCTCCTTCAATCTGAGGTCTTCTTCATAGGATGGATAATGCACAAATAGTCCTTTCACCTACAAAGAACCCTTATTTGAGTGTGAAGATAAGGAGAGTTTGGGAGATGAGTGGAGAGATAACAAGTACAGTCAGCATTAATGTTGAAGAGTTAAAAAGATGCAGATGCACTGTGATTTTGATAACCAATATTTGGTAGCAAGGCTCTGTGTTGTAGGAGAGCCTGGGGACATGTTGGGATAGAGGGGCCTGGAGTGGAGGTTTGAGGATACAGTCAAATTTAAAAGGATAAAGAGAGAGAGAGTCAAAGAGGTGGAAGAGGCAAAGGATAGTAAACCTGTTCAATATCAAGTGATAAACTACCTCGGCATTGTAAAATATATTGCAGATTTTCTTGAAACTTGTGAGTTTTAAACACAGGACTATGATAATAATAACTGCCAAAAGCCAATGGTTGTGGTCAGGCTGCAAGCCATAGCAAACATGAAGGTCAGTTTGCACATCTTGCTGTAGAATACATACATCTGGAACATCAATAATTGATTGCAATACACCACAAAATACCATTAATATGTACATAAGATGCTATCTGAGCTTGTATTTTGTGGTAATAATATATTTTCTAATATTTCCTTCTCATACTCTGCAGAACACTGACCTTAAGTACTACAATCAGATATCACACAAATTCTAATAGCAAAATACACAGTAAACTGATTAATTTGATATATAGGCTACAACTAGGTAGTAGGTAAGGCATAAATTATCAACCACTTTCCACAAACACTTATTGTCTGATTCAATAGATGATGTATCAGCTGTTAGAACAACATGAGGACCTAGCTGAATGTCCCAGAAACAACCCCCTGGTATGGGCACAGCTCAAACTACATCTAGCTTGTACTTGCGCCTGTACTTGCTGAGGGCTTCCTTAAACATATAATATTTTCTATGTCAGTTTTTGCTAACACCATCAACATGCTCTGCAGTGTTATCCCTAATGATTGTTACAATTGATGTACCAGTACCTACTTACGCTTCACTTTTTGCACTTTTACTTTTACTTTTCCAAGTCACATGACCAGTCATTTGACCATTTACTTTACTTTACATTTTCGACTTTTCATAGTCACATGACCAAGTCATGTGACACAACACCTGACCAATGTCTAGACTCATCATGTAACCGGTCACATGCTAAACATCAGACTTTCAACTTTATTTACAACTGTACAGTACCTTATATATTTTAGTATATATACAGGAGCAATACATGGGGAAGGACTCAGTGAGTCCTCCTGTTGTCTAGCACAACAAACTTGTTGAAACCTGAGGGGTGATCCCTCCTTTCTCTCTTCTTCTCTTGCTTGTCTGAGTTGTGCGCCAGAGTAAGAAACTCTTGGTTGTTACAATGATTGTGGTAACTTGTCATTAAACAAGTCTACTAGGAACAGTACTTACCAAGTATATAATATGCCCACCTCCTGGCCAACCCAGACTACATGATAACCCTCTGGTTTGATGTCTGCGTCCAGAGGTTTTATCTTATCAGGATGTGGGATTTGCGCAAGAGGACTATTTCATGATGAAACTGGAGATTGAGCTGCAGTAGGATGATAAGCAACAATTGATGGTTATATCATCCACATCAGTGTATGCTTGAATCATGATGACTAACCTTGATATGCACACAGATCCAGACTTTATCAATGTTTCTGGTGGGTCAAGCTTTAGTCAAGACTTAAGGCATCAACATAACACAACTTGTCACAAGCAGCGTGGAAAACTCACCTACCACACAGCATGGCCAGAAATCAAAGCATCCACAATTGCACTAGTCTATTCAGTGGCAAAGTGTGATATATTTGTCCAACTTGTGGTAGGAATCATGTGTGCGGAGAAATAGTGCACCAGGTACTATGACACAATGTTCTCGCAAAAAGGGCAGCAGAGAACAGCAAAAGGCATAAGATATGCAACCAAGGTGAATAATGCCTTCTCTCCACCATCATGTCAAAATCACTCACATTCTTCTAGAGATGGACCAAGATGAAAAATGTGCCCTCAAAGCTGTATGGGAGCTTCTAGGGTTGGAGCAAATGGCTTGTAATATTGAGGACCACATTAATATTGACAATGTCCTGGAAGGGGCTCATTCACTGGATATTAGTCATGCAGGTGGAGAGTACAAAGCACTCACCAAAGAGTTAAAGAGGAAATGTGGAAACAGTATGTCCTCCTTTGGCCGTGTTAAGCTAATTATCACGAGCACCATGATCAAATTGTCTGCTGAGTCCTCACCTTCAAAGAACAGGTGTCTGCTATGACAGAGGTGTACATGGACTGGTGTTTGAAGTGGGATAAAGGTTTTGCTAGGAGGTTTATGCAAGAATAATGGGGGCAAAATCAAAGTGAGAGCTCCAATGGGAATGGATCAGTAAGCATCAGAGCTGTGGATATGTTTGGTGAGTACCCAAAGTTGGCAGGTTCATGGCATGCTAAAAATGTGTAGATACTCAATCATTTACTCTGACCATGTTTCCCACCAACTCATTTGTAGCATCTACCTTGCTTGGTCTGCCAAGGTGTTATATCCTGCTTGCCCATATCCCCTTTTGTGGCTATCACAGCCAACACCCTTGAATTCTATTGTGTTGCTGGTTGTTGCAATCCTTATTTTTCCATACAGGCTTTCATCAAGGCTTTCACAGATCTCCATGGTGTAAGTTCAATTCAAATCTTCTATTATTGGGTATTCATTACATAGTGTCTGTATAAATACTATCTGTCCTGGCAGTTTTCTATTGCCTTTGACCTTTATCTAGAAATCAAAGCCCAGGTATTTGCGCATGTTCAGCATGTTTTGTAATGAGACACTCCTGTGTTTGCCCCTGTGACCACACCAACAAGGTACTACCTTGGGGCACTAGAGCACAACACTAACAACAACTTAATGGTGGGAAAGGGAAGTGTACAACTCATCAAGAGAGGGAGGTTGTCATACTAATGTTGGTATACACTAAAAGAGGACTCCCATGTATTGCTTCAGTATATATACTACAATACATGGGGTACTATACAGTCGATAAATAAAGTTAAAAGTCTGATGTTCAAAACAAGAAAAAACAGTAAAACAAAATAAGACCTTACTTCCATGTGGCAAGGCATTGATTATCTCTTTGTTGATGAGGTTTCAATGATTGGCTGTAATCTCTTAGTTCAGATAAGTGAAGCTCTTACTGGTGCAAAAGGATGTACTGCACTTTTTGGGGGCATTAACATAGTTTTTGCTGGTGACTTTGCACAGCTTCCTCCTATTGGTCAAACACCACTCTATGCTCATATTAATAATCAGAGGGCTACCAAACAAGCACAAGGAATTGTGCCGGGCAAACTTCTATGGCTTTCTATTAAAATAGTTATTATTTTATTTGAAAACATGCAACAGAAGGGACCAACTAACCAACAATTTGTTGCATTACTTAATTGACTGCATCTTGGGAAATGTACTGTCAAAGATTATAACCTGTTAAATGATTGTTAGAAAAACACCATATTGATTGGTCTGGCTCATATTGGAGATCAGCACCGTTTATTTGTTCTGATAATGAGATAAAAGATGCCTATAATGCCAAAGCCGCTACTGCTTTTGCTGAAAGAACAGGCTGTGATCTCCATTGGTACTATGCCTTGGATCAACGGCAGGGGAAAGTGTTCACTGATAAGAATCTTGTAAATCACTTACAGAATCTGCATTTTGGTGAAACAAGTTATTGATTGGGTAAACTCCCATTGGTGATTGGCATGCCTGTGATGATCTCTCGAAATTTTGATGTTGATGCAGGTATTGTAAATGGCTGCATAGGTACTCTAAAACAAATTAGATACACCATTGATAATTCTGGAAGACACCACGCAGTGTCATGTGTAATAGATGCACCTTTTTATACTGGCGGAAATTTACTGCATCTTCCTGATAATCATGTAGCCATTCTAAAAGACTCTGCAGATGTGACATTCACTCACCCAGACACTGGGAAAAGGTGTATAATCAACCATCTACAACTTCTAATTACACCTGCATGTGTGATAACTGTGCATAAAGCACAAGGTCATACATTATACTGTGCAATAATCAACATCAAAGGCTGTAAAGGAACTGAATCACCTTATGTAATGGTATCTTGTGTGACTTAATTGGATGGCTTTATCATCCTGTTAGAATATACTCTGACATACCAATACCCCATAGGATAATACCTCTGATTTGTAAGCCAGCCCAGTATGCAGCAGCTATTCTGTGTAAGACGTCCGTGGTTGCATGTCATGTTTAAGATCCTACATTGTATAACCTTGGCCATATAGCTCAATTGGTAGAGCAGCTGGCATGTATCCAGAAGGTTCCAGGTTCAATCCCTGGTCTGGTCATTATCCAATTTTAACAGGTTATGAGCCCTGTGCTCTAGCCATCTTCCTGACTTCATACCTCATCATCCAAGCACCCTACTGCTTATCTCTCTTGCAAATTGTCTTCTGGGTCTCTGATAACCCTCTCTATCATCTCTGTTTGCTTTGATTCCATCTGGATCACTCCCTATAAGCCTTTGTTGCTTGGAACCTCATTTTGGACGCTTTTTTGGCCTTATTAGTGCCATATCTCACCCAATCCTTATCTGATCGTCCCCAAACTCCTACCATTGTCTTCTACGACCTTGAAAACCCTAGAAGACTCCTCAGAGTGGTGGATTTTGAGTTTGATCTCCCTGTGAGCCCCTATCATTATCTGATCACCACTTTTACCCCTATTATACTCCTCCACTCCCTGTGCTTCGTTTCTGGCCATACTTGGCCTACCTATTGCACCATATAATTGCTCTCCACACCTATATTTTTGGGGCAATCCATCCACTCCATCTGTCCCTGTGACAATTTCGATTTTTTTTAGCCTATATTTTCGCTTTTTGGCATATCTGGTGCTTGCATAAAGCTCCAATCTTCTCTGCTCTGTCTATTATCAGATAGAACAAGCCTATAGACTGTGAAGCTCGCCTGCATTGCCTCAGTTTGCTGTTGCCCAGAGCCTCTCTCAGTCTGCGGTGTTTGGGGAGCTTAAGTCACTTTGTTGACTCATATACAAGCCCTTTTAACCAACACTGTCTCAAGGCGATTTCTCTGTTAATATCAGTGTAGTATTGAAAGGGGAACACAGGCGTAACCCTGTAGCATCACTAGGAAGCCTTAGCACCCTCCCGGACCGCTTATGGACCACTTTTTTGGACTCTTTTGGACCCTTTGGACCTTTCTGTGCACTTTTTGGACCTTCTCCATTATCCACCTCTACTGCTTTGCTAGCTCATTTCCACACCATGGATAAAACTAAATGTACTCCTCATTCATATTCTGCTCCTACTCATTGTTCTTGCTCATCTCCTAACTGCCATTATTGTAATCAATCTGCCATACCTGGTGCAAAATACCATTTTTCTACTGTGGTTGCAGAGTCGGCTAGAAATGCAAGCCTCCACTCTATTCATCCCTCTGACTTACACTGCCCTCTCCAGCTTGATGCCGACATTGATTGAAATACAAACACAGGTGCCACTTCTCATATGACACCTCATCGTCACTGGATTCGCAATTATGCACCATATTGTGTTCCCATAAAGCTAGCAGATCATACTGTTGTTTATTCAGCTGGTATTGGTACTGTGGTGTTGAACCCTATCATCAATGGCAAGGAATCAAGGGCTGTAGAATTCTCCAGAGTGCTGCATGTACCAGATCTTCAAAATAATCTCCTCTCAGTCTTGTACTTAACTCGTCAAAGTGGTTTTAAAGTCATCATTTCATCTCAATCTATGTCCTTCATACGTGACAACACTCTCTTATTCACTGCAACCATCAACAACAATAATGCTGCATTCCTTGATGGATCCACTGTTTCTTGTGTTGAATTGGGACACTTTTCTGCAACAATTCCACTTGACTTAAACCTTTGGCATCGAAGATTGGCTCACCACCACTATGCTGATGTCAAGAAAGTGACACAAGGAAAATCTTGTTACTGGAATAACACTTGAGTCCAAATCTACTCCTGATCCTATCTGTGAACCATGTCTGTCTGGAAAAATGTCTGCCAACCCATTCCCTTCATTTTCTCATCGCTCTGCTCACCCTCTAGACCTCATCCACTCTGATGTACACCAAGTCTCCTCCCCTTCATTCTCTGGGTATCGATATTGGGACACCTTCATCGATGATTACACTCAATTTTGTGTTGTTGTCCCTTTGAAGGCCAAGTCAGATGTCTTTAATGCTTTCAAGAGTTTCAAGGCTTATGCTGAGACTCAATTAGAGCGAAAAATCAAGGCTCTGTGCAATGACAAAGGGGGAGAGTACATCTCCAAGGAGTTTGAGCAATTCACAGATGATCATGGCATTGTCAGACAGCATACCACCCGGAATAGGCCTCAGCAGAATGGAGTTGCAGAAAGAGCAAACAGGCTTCTCTCTGAAAGAATCACTACCATGCTTTCAGAGTCTGGATTGCCTAATATCTTCTGGGGTGAATGCCTAGGTGCCTTGGTGCATGTCTGGAATAGGTGTCCCACTGATGCAGCGGTCAATGCTACTCCTTATCAATTGTGGCATGGACATAAACCAGACATGTCACACCTTCATGTTTGGGGGTGCACTGCTTATGTGCATGTGCAAAAGGATAAGAAAGGTGTTTTTGGCTCTCACATGGAGAAATGTGTGTTCATTGGTTACCCTGCTGGGTACAAGGGTTGGAAATTCTACAATCCTACCACCAAACGCACCATTATCTCTGAGAGAGCTGATTTTGATGAGCGCTACTTCCCTGGCTTGAAAAAGACTTCTACCACTGCCATTCCTACTCCACCTTTGCCACCTTCACTTCCCATGCCTTTGGGCCTGGATGAGGATGTCCCTGCACCAGGTCCAGGGGGAGATATTGACCCACCAGCTGTACTTCAGCAACCTCAGCAACCTCAGCACTTGCCTGATGATGGGCCTGATTTGGACCTTGATGCAAAACCACCTGTGAATCAACCTCTTGAGCTTCCAGATCACCCTTCTCATTGCTCACCTTCACCTGACTTGCCTATTGCACTGAGACGCCCTGCAAGGGCTAGGAGACCACCTAGACCATGGTGGCTTCAACACAGACAACCTACTCCTGCCATTGAGAGTGATAACAGTGATAGTAGTGATTCTGAGGCAGTTGATGATGAAGTGGCACACTTTGGAGACTCTGCTGAGCCTAGGTCATTTGCAGATGCAATGAAGCATCCTGATGCAGATAAATGGAGAAAAGCAGCCATGGAAGAGCTCCAAGCTCATGAGCACAATGGAACTTGGTTACTTGTGGAACTACCTCCTGGAGTCAAGGCAATTGGTGGCAAATGGGTCTTTAAGATCAAGCACAACTCTGATGGCTCCATTGAGCGCTACAAGGCCAGATATGTGGCTAAAGGTTACAATCAGCGCCCTGGCTTTGACTTCCTTGAAATATTTGCACCCACTGTTTGCATCTCATCAATCAGAGTTACCCTTGCAATTGCTGCCATCCACAACCTCCATTTGCACTCCATTAACATCTCTCATGCATTTCTCAATGGTGTCATGGATGTAAAGGTCTACATGCAGCAACCAGAGGGATTCCATCAAGGTGGTCGTAATCTGGTCTGCCAACTCAACAAGGCCATTTATGGGACCAAGCAAGGAGGCAGGATGTGGAACCAGAAGATGTACATTGTGCTTGAAAAACTCGGATTTAATCGCACTTACTCTGACTCTGCCATCTATGTGTTTAATAGAGGTGAAGTGCGCATTATTCTACTTGTCTTTGTTGATGACATGACACTGGCATTCACATCCAATTCTGCACTTGACCAAGCTGTCAAGGACCTCTCTCAGCACTTCAAACTTTGTGATCTTGGCCCTACTTCCTACCTACTTGGCATTTCCATCACCAGAGACCTCAGCAATCGCACCATCTCCCTCTCCCAACATCAGTACACTCTGGACATTCTGGAGCGCTTTGGCATGAAGGACTGCAAGCCTGTGTCCACTCCAATGGACCCTGGTTCACGCCTCACCAAGGATATGTCTCCCAAGGCACCAGAAGAGGTGCAACTGATGAAAGACATTCCCTATCTTGTTGCTGTTGGTGCTCTGATGTATTTGGCCACCACCACTCGTCCTGACATTACCTATACTGATGGAGTTCTTGCCAGATTCAATTCCAATCCTGGGCCCACTCACTGGGGTGCTGTCAAGCACTTATTCCGCTACTTGCAAGGCACCCTCAATCACTCACTTGTATTTGGCCCTGATCCTAATTCCACTGAACTCTTCACCACTTTCTCTGATGCTGATCATGGTGGTGACAAGGACTCTGGACGTTCTACTGGTGCTTACCTTGTCAAGATTGGATCTGGTGCTGTCTCTTGGAGTTTCAAACTTCAAAGCATTGTTGCTCTTTCCACCACTGAGGCAGAATATATTGCTGCTGTTGAAGCTGGCAAGGAGATCTGCTGGATGCAAAATCTGCTGAAGGAAATGGGCTATCCTATCACCTCTCCTTCCACCCTTCACATTGACAACCAATCTGCCATCTCTGTGTCCAAGAATCCTGAACACCATGGTCGAATGAAGCACCTTGATTTATGCTGGCATTGGTTGAAAGATATTGTTGGCTTTGGCCAAATTGCTCCCACCTTTGTGCGCACTGCTAAAATGCCTGCTGATTTGTTGACCAAGGCTCTGGCTAAGCCTAAAGTTAAAATGTTCAGACAGATGATGGGACTTGTTAGATCAGGTGGGAGCTAATGCTTGGGAGGTGCAGCATCAGGGGGGAGTGTTAGTTTTGGTGATTCTGCACCTAGTTGTGCTATCTATTTTCCCTTCTTTCTAAATCACTTTCCTCTTTATTCTTTTTGCTGTATTGTTCAGTATTCACTGAGCATTCTATAATTTTGCCTTTGTGGCTGATTTGTTTACCTTTGTTTACAAAACTTTGGACTAGTATTGCAGAGTCCAGTATTCCTATTCTTTAGTTACTCATACTGGACTCTAGGTACTGTATACATTCTGTACTCTCTGATAATATAGTTACTCATACTGGACTCTAGTTCTGTCCCTATTAGCTCTCAGCAAGTGGCTAGACACTTCCCAGAAGTTCTCAATTGAACACATCCTTTGCCCCTTCAGCTTTACTAAAATCTGGTGTCGCCAATTGCAAAATGCATGAATTGAAGCTAATTGATTGCATTATTTAAGTCTGCAAGCATTAACTGAGTATGGCTCTGAAGATGAGATCTCACAAGCAGAAGCTAACCTTTGTAGTCTTTCTTCTTCAAGTAATATGCCCAATGTAACCAATGAACCAGTCTTAACTGACTTACATGACATCTCAGTAAAAGATGAAATGCATCTCTTAGAAACATTTCAATGCATTGTTGGAGCCCATTATCAGATTGACTTACCTCATACAGAATACACGAGTGAGTCTAGATGTCCTCGGATAACAAAGAAAAAAGGAATTGATGATGTTCATTGTGATCAACCAACTTCATCTACCAAACATGCACGGTTTCAGAAGTAGAATTTTCCCCTTTGAATTGAGATAATGAAATATGGATGAGGAGGATGAATCAGATCCTGCAGAACAACAAGGAGTAACTAGTGGTGTTATAATTCCTTCCAGTAAGTCCCAAAACTGAGCACATTCTTCTCAACACTAAACACAAAGTAATATAGAGGATAAAATCAAAATTGATGCATTTTACAACCCAAGGCTATTATCCGACTATGGAGGTAACATGTTCCAGCTCAAAACAAGCAAGTTACACCAACTGAATGTTGTCGACTCCAATAATGAACTGATCCCTCCTTGGGAAATGTACAACAAGCTACAACCTGGAACTCTTGTCCTCATGGACGTCACACTACATGAATTTATTTATCTGCCACTAAACCCAGCCAAAAAAACTCAAAGGAAAAGTATGGCTGTATACTTATGTTGCATATTTCATCACTTACTATACACACAGTATTATCAAGTGCATGCACATTCAGTACGTGTACTAGCAGAATCTGACTGGGAAATTGAAACCAGGCTCAAACCCGTGTTACCTGGCAATAAATGTCAACAAACTACTTCCACTGCAACTTCACCCGGGATCCAAACTGCCATTTTTGGATTCACTGGATCCCCTTCAAAGAAAAAAAAAGTCTCAGAGGGGCAATGCACTCAAGATTTTGAACACATGGTTCTTGACAACACCGAACTCTCCAGCTCCCAAAGCTCGAACACAACCAGTCAATTGTCCTACAAATCGAGTACTTTCAATTATCCTCTATATTTTACTCAATTAACCTCCATACAATAGACACTCCGACTACTAAAGCTCCAAGTAAAGCAACCAAGATGCACATGAATAATGCTCCAAAATAAAAATTGAGTTTGTGTCTTTTGGTCAAAATATACAACACATTTTTTTATACTTCTTATCTCAATGATGACTCTTTTTACTTATTGTTTTCTTTATCATTCAACTAATGATATTTGACAACAAGGGCTCATATTCAACTATGCCCATTACTGTTCCATCCTTTCTGATGTAGTAACAAACTTGATGCCTCCGCCTATTGACTCATAAATAAACAACTTTCTTGCGCTATTGTTGAAGTATCCTATAACTTACTATTGTAAGATAATAAGCTATAATGGAACACAACAGAACACTCACTTCTATTAGCAGGATATCATCGTTTTTGTTTCACATAAAAAACCGTAAACTTTGTATATGGCATGTCTTAAATCTAGATACAAACCTTCCTGTAAATATGGCAAACAGCATCAAAACATACATGAGCTCACCTCATTCCCTAAAATACTTCAAAGCTCCAGATTCTTGTAAATCTGAGACATGTTCATTATTATTAATCCCAAGAAATGTTAAGCAAAAACAATTTACCAACACAGCCTTTAATTCCACATTTTTGCATCCTCCACATTACCAACACAGACGACACATGCTTTTGGGAGCAGCAAGACAATTGACATGGATTGTACTGACTCCATCACTGCACTTTGATTTCACAAGGCACAAACCACAACTGGTGGTGTGGGAATATACCTATAAACCATATAGTACATAAAGAGAAAGATTCTTTGACACATTCTTTCTACCTCTAAAGGCCGGCGGGGAAGTAATGACCCCTACCATGTCTGACTGATGGAGGATACCCAGGGGAAGTGGTGCCCCCTGGGTCCTAGAATCAGACCGGAGGGGAGTGATGCCCTCTCTGGCATTGCTTAGAATGAATCTGTCCAGTGGGGAGGTGATGACCCCTCCGCTGTCGGGAAATGTTTATATACTATGATATTGTTGTACCATTGTTAATACCATGATAAATAAATTCTATGAAAACTGCTACGAGAAATATCAGGTAGCAGGCTGTACCACTGTCATGGCCTTACCAACTTATATATTCATCCCTCACAATCTTTCTACCTCATTGAATAAGATTGGGAGATGATTTGATGTGGCGATCACTCTGCTTGATAAGAAAATCACATATAGGGGTGGAGTGCAAGAGGATGTCGGTAACTACAGGATGGTTTCTATAGAGTGGGTCACTAATCAGGGTTTGGATCATGTCGGACAGGCATACACCGTATTTCGAAAGACAGTTCAGAGTGTTTTACATGGAAAGATCAAACAATTGTAGACATTGAGGGCTATCATGCTGGATCAAAGCTTAACTGTTCTATATTACTTGTAATGGTAAGTGCTTGCAAAAATGAATAAAATCAACATTATTTTTTATTAGAGTTTCAATCCTTTTTTAAAACAAAATCTGACGTCAAGGCTCATCACTGTCACTGTGGCGAGCCTTTGTTTACAAATGTTAATTTTGAGATATTATCTTATTATATCTAATCATATCTAATCTCATCATTATTTTATGGCTCTAGTCCTCCTCTTTCAAAACAGTGGCTGTGCAGGAGCCTGGAGATTTTCATAATTCATAATCTCGGTTTTTTTGCAGTGCTTCGGGCTTTCACCCAAACTAATATAAAATATCATGGCCCTCCAGGGCAGACCTGGACCCGACATCTCGCGTTCTACAGTGCATTATTGAAGATACATTATTTCATTATCACTGGTATATTAACGCTAGCAAAATCACTTATTAATGTAAAGGTTACCAGTGTTTATCAGTAGACAGGGGACAGGTCATCACCTCCCCTGCAGGCACATTCAACATTCCAGTGAATGGAAGAGTGAATACAGAGGAAATAGTACAGTGGTTGGTTGGTTACGGTTGGAATGCCGGTGACAGCATCAGATTTTTTTCAACAACCAACAATATTGATAGGTATCTTTGAATATTCCTGAGGGTGTGACCATACCAGTCAAGATGAATGTAGTACATGTGCTTATTATCATATTTGATTTGTTATATTTACATAGAAAAAACAGAAAAATAATCAATGAGCAGGAAGGAAGAGATGATAATGCCGCTGCAAAAGCAAGAATACCTGAAAGATGAATGAGTAAATATGGATAATATAATAACTTACTGTGAGGCTATGAGAAGACTAATAGAGAATGTTTCTCAGTCTTATAATTAAGAAACTGAGGTTTGTGTAATGTAGAATGCTACAAGTTTTGGAATAAGCGTGGGAATGATCTGAGCTTATGTAATGTGATGGAAAAGCGGTCAATCAGAGAATAAAGGATAATGTATAGATGATGAAGAAATAGAACATATAATGTTAATATGCTATGAATGAAATATGCCAACACTTAGGTGGCAACTGTGGCAACCAGTGATAAAGTCATAAAACAAGAACAAAATAAAAACTCACATTTTATCCACAGCACCAGGGTTGCTATACTGTTATATGACCACCAGATTAGCAATGTTGTAAGGCCAGATTATCAGAGCTGAATGACAGGGCTTGGTTAGTTGACTATAGTGCAACAGCCATAGAAATTTTAGTACTGTTATTGGTTACAGGTCACACCATCACACATGACAAGGTTTTTTCCTTACTACCGCTCACTGAATGCTCAATCTCATCCAATGCTGCAGCCTCCATTCTCAATCCATTCCATCACAACGCTCACTCCACAGATTAGCTAAAACCCAATATTCTTACTCTGGCTACTTGAGCTTGACTGAGTATGCAAAGTAGGTAAGCGTGACTTTCTGCTTACCTAATATTTCCAGCTGACATATGCCTTGTACCCCCTTGCACTCAGTCCCCGGCCTGCCTGCGAACTTTGCCGTACAAGTTTTATCTACCTGTAGTAACTATTTTTCTTTCCATATTCATGATATTTTGTCTGCACCAATTGCAAAGCACATTTTATAATAATATTGATACTCACAACAATCACGGCCACACTGCATGGGCAAATCAGAGGTATAAAAGCGGCTGTTGAATATACTAAGATGCTGTGCCCTGTGGTGTTTAAAAGTCCAACCGTAACCAAACAACCACCGTAAAATAGTGAGTAAAAAAGAGGCCCACGGTATCTCAACAACAACCAGTCATGTGGTTCTATCCAAAAATGGTATAAAAGCTCCTAGAAAGATACTAAGATAGGCCTTATCCACAATCGACACCATCATATGACAAAAAGTCTTACACTTCAAGACAAACCAGAGAAATGCTACGTTCTCATTTAAATCAAGTGATTTATAATTTTTGTTTTGCATTGTGCAAGAAGAGATAGGTTTTTTGTGGCAAAGATGAGCCTTAGAGCTTTAGATGACCAAAGAGTTTATGTTGATGATCTCGTTGCTGACCGTCACAGGCCAAGTCACATCATGTGATGGCGTCGGCCTGTCTTAACAATGATACAGATTACTAATGATGTAGGAGTCGGACCGACATCCGCCCAAAACGCTCGCGACAATTGAATTCTGGAAACCTGGATCCTACGGGTCCAGGAATTTTACCCTTTTTCTATTCAAAACAGTGAATCTGTCGTTAAACTACTTTATTGTCAATATACTGCATTATCGAGTGCGAAAGCCAAAGACAGGTATTTTCCCCCACAAGTGCTTGATATTTTGAAAATTAACTTGTCAGGATTGATTGTCCAACGATAATAAATTTGCGCCACTTTTCCATATGAACCTGCCCTGAAGTGATCGATAAGCTGGGGGTATCGAAAACTTTCACTCGTCAGTTTGTTGATTGTAGTTGCCAGTTGACGCAAACCTCATCCTTCAAAAAGGCTGACTCCCTGTACAATTTGCTTTATTTTGTACCTTTGTAAAATCTAGACACAGCAATGGTGTAAGTCCATGTTAGTCTTCATTTCACTTCGTTTAACTGATTAGATTTTTTATCCAATTTCAGTAACTTCACAGTAGGTAAGTAAAATCGAAGTCATTCCAGCAATCGGGCTCTTCAACTAACAGATCACCCATTCCTATAGACCAGATTCGGGCCCTGATGGACAAGCCCACGAACATTCGTAACATGAGTGTTATCGCCCATGGTAAGCTATTCAATCGATCTACATGGGATGCTTTCCCATATCTAATGCATCTGTAGTCGATCACGGCAAGTCCACTCTCACAGACTCACTGGTTTCGAAAGCCGGTATCATCGCTTCAGCAAAAGCTGGAGATATGCGATTTACCGATACAAGAGATGATGAAAAGGAACGTGGTATTACTATTAAATCAACGGCTATATCTATGTACTTCGAGGTCGACAAGGACGAACTGCCGGCTATCAAGCAAAAAACAGAGGGTACAGTCCCGTGCTGCGTTCTTCCCGTGTATTTACTTACCACATACTAGGCAATGAGTTTTTGATTAACTTGATCGATTCGCCGGGTCACGTTGATTTCTCATCAGAAGTTACCGCAGCTCTCCGTGTCACTGACGGTGCCTTGGTTGTCGTGGATTGTATTGAAGGAGTTTGTGTACAAACCGAGACCGTGCTTCGTCAAGCGCTTACGGAACGTATCAAACCCGTCGTTATCATCAACAAAGTCGATCGTGCTTTATTGGAACTGCAAGTATCAAAGGAGGACCTTTTCCAGTCCTTCCAGCGTACCATCGAAACTGTCAACGTCATCATCTCAACTTACCACGATGTTGCACTCGGTGATGTCCAAGTTTACCCTGAGAAGGGTACAGTTGCTTTCGGTTCTGGTCTTCATGGGTGGGGATTTACTCTCCGCCAATTTGCCGCTCGCTATTCCAAGAAGTTTGGTGTTGACAAAGAAAAAATGATGGCCAAGCTTTGGGGAGACAACTTCTTCAACCCTACTACTCGCAAATGGTCAACGAAATCTGCCGATGCTGACGGCAAGCCCCTTGAGCGTGCCTTCAATATGTTTGTCCTTGACCCTATCTTCAAAATCTTCGACGCCGTCATGAACTTCAAGAAGGACGCAATTGCACCTATGTGCGAAAAGCTAGACATCAAGCTGGCACAAGACGAGCGAGACCTTGAGGGAAAAGCTTTACTCAAAGTCATGATGCGCAAATTCTTGCCTGCTGGTGATTCCCTCTTGGAGATGATAGTCATTAACCTTCCCTCTCCTGCCACTGCTCAGCGGTACCGTGTTGAAACCCTTTACGAGGGTCCTATGGACGACGAGTCCGCCATCGGCATCAGAGATTGTGACCCGAAAGGTCCTCTTGTTCTTTATGTCTCAAAGATGGTTCCCACTTCTGATAAGGGGCGATTCTATGCTTTTGGTCGTGTCTTCTCTGGGACAGTCCGCTCTGGACCAAAAATACGCATTCAAGGACCTAATTATGTCCCTGGAAAGAAGGATGACTTGTTTATAAAGTCTGTTCAGCGCACGATCTTAATGATGGGTCGTTACATTGAGCCTATAGAAGATTGTCCCGCCGGTAACATTGTCGGTCTTGTCGGTATCGACCAGTTCTTGTTGAAGAGTGGAACTCTTACTAGCTCCGAGACCGCTCACAATATGAAGGTCATGAAGTTTTCCGTCTCTCCTGTCGTCCAAGTTGCTGTTGAGGTCAAGAATGCAGCTGATCTTCCTAAACTTGTTGAAGGTCTGAAGCGTCTGTCGAAGTCTGACCCATGTGTCCAGGCTTGGATCTCTCCCACTGGGGAACACATCGTTGCTGGTGCTGGTGAATTGCACTTGGAGATTTGTTTGAAGGTATGTTTGTCCAGTACGATGTGAATAATATGCTTACATACTTCAAAGGATCTTCAAGAAGACCACGCTGGTGTGCCTCTTAAGATCTCTGACCCCGTCGTTGGTTATCGTGAAACTGTGAAAGCCGAGTCGACTATCGTCGCCTTGTCCAAGTCGCAGAACAAGCACAATCGTTTGTATTGCAAGGCTATGCCCATCGATGAAGAGCTCACGAAAGCCATTGAATCCGGCCACGTTAGCTCCCGTGACGATTTTAAGGCTCGCGCTCGCGTCCTTGCTGATGAGTACGGTTGGGATGTCACTGATGCTAGAAAGATTTGGTGTTTCGGTCCGGATACCACTGGTCCTAATTTGCTCGTTGATGTCACCAAGGGTGTGCAATACTTGAACGAAATCAAAGACTCTTGTGTTGCTGCATTTCAGTGGGCGACCAAGGAAGGTGTTTGTGCAGAAGAGAACATGCGTGGTGTCCGTCTCAATGTTTTGGATGTTACGGTGCGGTTTGAGATCTAGATATAGATTGATCAATTTACTGACATATATGTTACAGCTACACACCGATGCTATCCACCGTGGTGGTGGACAAATTATCCCCACTTGCCGTCGTGTCTGCTATGCTGCTTGCTTGCTCGCCACCCCTGGATTGCAAGAGCCTGTATACCTTGGTATGAGCGCTTTGAAGTGTTTTTTGGTCTTTCTCATGTATGCTGTCACAGTTGAAATTCAATGTCCCGAAAATGCTATTGGTGGCATTTATAGTGTTCTCAACAAACGTCGTGGACAGGTCTTCAGTGAAGAGCAAAGGCCAGGAACCCCTATGTTCACCGTCAAAGCTTATCTACCTGTTATGGAGTCCTTCGGCTTCAATAGCGATCTTCGTTCACAAACAGCTGGTCAGGCCTTCCCTCAGAATGTGTTCGATCACTGGGACTTGATGAATGGATGTGAGTATACTGACTTTCCCCATGGAATATTCTAATCTGTCAACTTCTAGCTCCTCTCGAAAAAGGTAGTAAGCTCGAAGAAGTTGTTAGGGGTATTCGTGTCCGCAAGGGTCTCAAGGTACGCTGTTTCATTTCGGATGTAGATGCTAATGCTGACCCATCTTTCTGTAGCCCGATATCCCCCCTCTGGATACTTACTACGACAAGCTGTAATGAGTTGTTCCAAGCAAATGACATGTATTGGGAGTTTACAATCTGTTGTGTTGTACTAGGTTGGAATACAATGTAATTCTGCTTGTTTTATTACCGCAGTGAGCGGAAATGTTTGATTATCCTCCACGATTTCGCATACAGCTACGCCCATTGGAACGCTTCAATGACGTGTGGTAAATACAGATAAACGAGTCAATCAGTGGACCTATATTCCCCGACTCTTACATTAGTAAAACATTAGAAATGGGTGGGCCGGCAAATTCTTGTTACCTGGCTGATGGGTGGACCAATATGAGGATGGGTAACATTGTTACATTACTAATGGGTGGGCCTACATAGGGAATGGGTAATATTGTTACATCAGAGATGAGATGGCTGACAGAAGGTACACATAATGTTGTTGCCTTACTAATAGGGATGGTAAAGTTTGGTTTGGGCCAGAGGTTCAGAACCTGTTAAAACTAGACAAGATGAAAACTATGTGAGAACCTAACTCTTATGCCAAATAAACGGAGAATTAAGTTGTCTAATTGCAAGCAAGGTTTTTCACAGATGAATAAAGATTTAATCAACAGCTAAGGAATATGTACATGAAGTAGCTGGTATATATACCTAAGAAACATGTGTAAGTAATGAGGTGCTGACTGAGTGACATGTGTAAGGCATGAGGCAATTGATAAGTGTCTTGGTAAGTAACTATGTCATAGGTCACATGGTTGATCATGTGACTATGATAAGATAAGATCTGGAGAAATTATAGATATGATGGATTTGTTATTGTTATAATTTTTAGATAAGGTAGAGATGAGAGATTGTGACGAACTAGGTATAAAAGACCATTAATATGTATCATAATATAAGACAAACAAAACATACCCTCAGTTGTGTTACAATAAGCTGAGGGGAAAACAAGAGTGGTTTGAGCGGATATCAACCTGGTGTGTTGATCATATGATCCCTTGGTATTCTACCTGTAGCGTAAATAGGTTCCAACACTCCTCCTCAATACAAGAAGAGAGAAAATAAAAAAGGGAGGTCATTTAATGCCCATGAATTGTTGGAGAAGATATGAAAATTTTCAAAGGTAGTGCTTTAGTGAAAGTGTTGGCAATATTGTGTTTTGTATTTATGTACTGGACAGATAGGTCCCTTTCAGGTACTCATCCACAAATGAAATGGAAATAAATGTCTATGTGTATTGTCCTGGCACAAAAAGATGGATCTTTACAGAGTATGATGGCACCGTTGTTGTTGCATAGAAATGGTGTGGGAGTCCTAAGACATGTGAGTTCTTTTGCACATTCACATGTTGCAATGTATTCTGATTTGCATGTGAAAGTAGTAATGATTTGTTGTTTTATGAAACACCAAGTCACCATGCCAGAACCAATGGTAGTACAATAACCTGTAATGAATTGTTGTGTGTTGGGACAGTTGGCAAAGTTGGTGTTAGTGTATCTGATGAGTCATATGGGATTAGTTCCTTCTAGATGTAGTTTCAAGGTTCTCGACCCTTTTAGGTATTGTACTGCCCTTTTTACTGCTTTGCAGAATTTTGCCTCTCCTAGGTCTGAAATTTGCCATAAAGTTCTGAGGTTGATATGAAATCTCATTCTCCTCCTTCAAACTGGTGATTGTCAAGAAGTCATCCACATATACAGTAGCAATGCATGTACCCAATGGCATAGTGCAAGTGTAGATGTAGTATTTGCAAGTGAGTCTTGTGAACCCCCATGAGAGCATAGCATCATTGAGGGTTTTGTTCCAGACACACCCAGCCTGTCTCATGCCATAGATTTTCAATTGAGTTGCCAGATATTGTCGGAGTTGTCATCAAACCCAGTGGGCTGTTCCATATAACAGATTTTATCTGCAAGCAGAATGCCAATTTGTTGTGCGTCTCAGTCAAGAAAAGCAGCAAGATGGAGGAGGGTATAAAAAAATTCCAGGCATGTGGTGGGAGGAGTAGTTTTGTGGTAGTTGTGACCAGGTATGACACAACAGCCTTTACAGATGTAGAGTGCCTTGAAGCGGACAGGTAAGCTGTTTCCATTGCCTTTCAATTTGAAAACAGAATGTCCACACATAAGATCAAGACAAACAGGTACAGCAGAGCAGGGATGAGAGTGTAAACACCAAGTTCATGGAGACTGGAAAACTCCTCCTCAAGGGCAAGATACCATTCCTTTGCACAAAAGTGAGAGCCTCTGGCCAGAAGGAAGGGCCATCAGGGCTGTCTGTGGAGATGGGAGGCTCATTAAAAATAGCCAGGGCATGGAGGTGTGATGTAGTGGCAATAAAGGGGAATTCTTTATTTGCAGCACACTTGGCTGGTGGAACAGTGACACAAGCAGAACAGCGAGGAGGGACTTTAGTGGTTATGATTGATGCAGGGGCAAGGGGTACATTTAGACGAGGTGATGGTACACAAGGGGGGATGATAAGGGGAGGCTGTTGGACAATCATGAGATTCAATGAAAGAGACATGGAATGAGCAGTAGATACAACGAGAGGCACAATTAGATCATCAGTATAATTTGGAGAGAGGATCATATCCAATAAGTACACATTTAAGTGACCTATCAAAGACCTTAGGGTTGTGGTAGTTTGAAATGAGCACAAAAGCTTGTGCCCCAATTTCATGGAGAGATGAGAAATCAGGCTTTTGTCTGTGCCAGACTTCCAAAGGAGTTTTTTTGGGGAAGGATTTGGTGAGAACGTGGACAGTGAGAAAATTGGCAGTGATGACAAATTCATCCCACAGAGAAATAGGGACATGGCATGGGCACAACTGATGAACATACAATGAAGGTGTTTTAATGTGGCTATTATGTGCAGCAGTATATAGGGAGGTATACTGGTGAACAGTTCCTTGCAATGCCAGCCAAGTTTCAAGGTCTGTACTTCTCAGTTTGCCATTGTCAGATCTGAAAATCCCAACAGTGAGTCTGGTTTCAACCTTACATTCTTTCTGCCATGTCATGAGAGCTGGGAATGCTACGTCCTTAGAAGCAAGGGGAAGAGACTAAGTGCACAAAGAAACATGGTCAATCATGTTGAGGGCATACAAATTCCCCCTCAAAGACCGTACAGAGTGCTCCATGAGGTCAACATACATAATTCCTAACTTCCTCTTAGCCTTCAAACCCTGGCAAATGGACGGAACAGGAGACTCAGACTGTTTACTGAGAATGCAATGTTTGCACTTGATATGCTGGACTGAAGCAGGCAAGCCAGTAGCACAATGTAACCTGACCATATCAGAAATGGTACGATGTTTAGTATGACCTAGGTGTCAGTGCCAAATATCTACAGAGGGATGAGCAATTAGTGTGAGTTTATGAGAAGGTTGAATATTATCAACTGCATAAAGACAACAGCAAGTTAAAAAATCAGTAAGGAGACAGGTGCCATTTGGAGTAGTCACCCAGCAAGTAGCAAAGTCAAAGAAAGCAGTGGCTTAAGCAAAAGAGCAAATTGCCAAGACAGAGATCAACCAAACAGTTGCAGCAGGAAGGTATAGTGTATTGTTAAGCAAGACAGATGCACCACAGCCTAAACAAAGCTTGATGGTTCCAATGCCGGATGCAAACACAACAGAGCTACTGACACTAGAGACACTACAAGATTGGATTGGACATAGGGTGGAGAAGTCAGAAGCCACATTTGAGATGTGAACAGAAGTGCCAATGTCAAGAAAAATGGGCAAAATGGCAGGATACAGGACAGAGGAATCAGATAAGGCAAATACAGTAGGAGGTGAATGCCAATCAACAGATGAGGTGAGATTGTTGGTCATCACAAGGAAACCATTATAGAAAAGTGGAGTTGGAGAGAAAAGCCTGCTGACAGTTGTTTAAAGAGAAGGCTGTGTTGGAGACAGTGTCTAGGAGATAAGTGCAACCAGCATCATTGGTATGCCACACAAACTTTCTGGGAGCAGAGAACCGGTTGGCAGCTTTGGCAGCCAATATATCCTCACAACAACCATCCATGGGGACTGTTTGGTTGGAAGCAATCAGGGATAAGATGGCCCAATTTCTTACAGTTAGAGCAGACCTTGAGGGGTTGAGAGGAGGAGGGCTTTGCAGCAAGGGCAGTATCACCTAAGTTGGTGTTGTCCTGGAGAATAGCTTGTTTAAGGTGGAGTCAACAGTGAATATCTGTGGCAGAGGAAGTAGTAGTGGATTCAGACAATTCAGAAGATATGAAGTCCTAGATATGGATAAGTTTGCTGGAGAGGGCATGAAGCATACCAATCTTTAGAAAAGTTTCTTGATTGGGAATACCAATGGCAAAAATATGTTGAGAGAGGTCAGTAAGGTGCTTTGAAATATCTGAAAATGCCTCAGACTTGGTATACTTGGTGACAGATGAGTATGATTATAATTTGTGACACATGTCCGACTTTTTTGTGACAACATGCCGATATTTGCCAGGCAACAGATATCCACAAAGGTCTTCTTGCAAACTGGGGGTTTGCTGCTGTGGTACCTTTGGAAGCAGAGAAGAACATTGATATATTGGACTCATCATCTGATATAGGGTCAAGATCCTCTGAAGGGTCTGAAGAGTTGTCCAAAGAATCATCCAAAGAGTCTGATCCTGTGGACGACCACTACTTGAAGTTGTTGAATGCAGCACTGAAAAAGGTGAAACAGCAAAGGTATTTAATATAACAGTAGCAAACAACATATTCAGACGCTTCAATACATGAATGTAATCATCTAGCATGGGAATTAGAGGTGGGAAATACTACAGCTCATGAAACACTTAGGCATTTGGCAGGGCAGGGGTGGGCAATGAATGGTGGGGGCTATATTTTGTAATGCACAGTAAGCTGACCACCTTGAGTCTTTCAACTACCAGCAATGTGTTACAATTGATATACCAGCACCTACTTACACTTCACTTTTTGTACTTTTACTTTTACTTTTTCCAAGTCACATGACCAGTCATGTGACATATCATCTGACCAGTGTCTAGGCTCACCATGTGACTAGTCACATGCTAAACATCGGACTTTAAACTTTAGTTACAACTGTACCATTGTTCTCCTAGGAGTACAATTGTGCTCCTAGTAGTCATTATACTATAGCGAGTAGCACCTCCGGCTATAAGTAGTAGGGGGTTTAGTATAGAAATACCTCAGTCGTTTCTATAGCCTCTTAGGCAGCGGCTGAGGTATGTTACATTACATTTATTAGAGATCACCTTAAACTAACATCCATTGTAGTTTCACATAGGTAAATAAAAAAGTCATTTCTATAGCCTCTTGGGCAGCGGCTGAGTTTCACATAGTTTTATTACCTACTTGCATCAAAGGAGTTAGGGCCTTCCTTGGCTTAGGCAATTTCTACCGAAGGTTTGTTGAAAACTTCACAAAGATAATGAGACCGTTGAATGATCTCACTAAAAAGGACATTGTTTGGCACTGGGGCGCCAAAGAACAAGAAGCTTTTGATAAGCTTAAACAGGCGTTTACAACGGCACCCATATTAGCATTTCTAGAATTAGACAAAGAGTTCCAGCTAGAAGCCGACTCTTCCAATTTTGCTACTGGGGCTGTTCTATCAATTAAATGCCCTGACAATCTTTGGAGGCCTTGTGCCTATTTATCACATAGTTTGTCACCTACAGAGCGCAACTATCAAATTTATGACAAAGAGATGCTGGCCATTATTAGAGCTTTAGAGCACTGGCGGCATTACTTAGAAGGTGCTAGGCACCAATTTGAAATTTGGACTGATCATAAAAATCTGGAGTATTTTATGATGGCCCAAGACTTGAACCGAAGACAGGCCCACTATGCAGTGTACTTGTCAAGGTTTAATTATAAGTGAATTCATAAGCCTGGAGCTTCTATGGGGAAAGCGGACACTTTATCCAGAAAAAAGGATCATGCCAATGGCATCAAAGATGACAACAAAGGTGTCACCCTGATAGATCAATCCAGGGTTGCCAATGTTTGAATCGGGCAGGATTCTAATCTTCTGGAAGTCTTCAAGAAAGACATCTCCTCAGAAGAGAAGGTGCGCCTTGATGGCAATGAAAACTATTTATGGGAAGACGGGCTCTTCTATTTTAAAAACAAAATCTATGTGCTGTTACAATTAACATACCAGCACCTACTTACGCTTCACTTTTGTACTTCTACTTTTATTTTCCAAGTCACATGACCAGTCATGTGACCATTTACTTTACTTTACATTTTCAACTTTTCATAGTCACATGACCAGTCATGTGACATATCACCTGACCAGTGTCTAGACTCATCATGTGACCGGTCACATGCTAGACATCGGACTTTGAACTTTATTTACAACTGTACAGGACCTCATGTATTTTAGTATATATACAAGAGCAATACATGGGGAAGGACTCAGCGAGTCCTCCTGTTGTATACCAACAAACTCTCTGCAGTCTAAGGGGTAACCACTCCCTCTTCATTTTCTTTATAGTGTAGTTCTGTGTGCGCCAGAGTAACTAACTCTTGGTTGTTACATGTGCCTGAGTCCGCAAGGATCAAAGCAATAGACAGACATCACAACACTCCAGTGGCTGGGCACCCTGGGTGGCAACGAACAATGGAGTTGATCTCCAGAAACTACATGTGGCCTGGCATGGTTAAAGACGTATAGGAATATATAAAATTCTGTCTAAGATGTGCCATGGCAAAGAACTTGCATCAACCGCTAGCCGGTAAACTTCTGCCAAATCTGATACCAGCTGGTCCCTGGTAGGATATATTGGCTGATTTCACAATGGATCTACCTGAATCAAATGGGTATGATTCAGTGATGGTGGTAGTAGATCGCTTCTCCAAAGAAGTGGTGTTTATTCCCACCTACAAAACTATTACTGCCGCTGGTACGGCAGATCTATTTAAAGATTTTGTATGGTCTATCCATGGATTGCCGGAAACGGTTATCTCTGATAGGGGACCCCAATTAGCTAGCAAATTTACGAAAGAGTTATGCCGGATGCTGGGCATCAAACCTAAATTATTGACGGTGTTCCATCTGCAGACTGATGGACAAATAGAGAGGCTCAATCAGGAATTGAAGCAATACCTCTGTATATTTATTAATGACAGACAGACAGATTGGGCCAAGTGGCTAAAAATAGCCCAGTTCTCATACAATATCAAACAGTCATCGGCTATAGAAAAAGCACCATTCAAGGTTACAAGATTGTACCTTCCTAGAATGGGTGTAGAACCTGGCAAAAGCAAGAACGAGACTGCTGAGAACATGGTTAAGGACATGAAGTCTGTCTTAGACAAAATGTGCAAGGCGCTATTCAAAACTGCAAAGCAGATGAAGGACAGGGCAGAGCGTAGACGCTCTAAGGCACCTGATTACAAGGTCGGCGACCTGGTCTGGTTAGATACTGACCGCTTAAAGTTGAAAGATCGGCAGTCTAGAAAACTGACCAAAAAGTGGATTGGTCCTTACCGGATTAAGGAAGTCAAACCCAATGCAGTGGAGCTAGAGCTCCCAAAACGAATGAGGGTAGTACCCACAGTCAATATTAGCCATGTAAAACCCTAAAAATGGCCGCTGCCAGGACAGTGCATAGACCGCTTGAAGCGTGGAAAGTTAGAGTTCCTAGTCCTATGGAAGGGCTATGGAGATGAAGACAGAACGTGGGAACCAGAAGCCCATCTGGACAATTCCCGCAATGCTGTACATGAATTTTATTCTAAGAATCCCTCAGCTCCAAGAAAGCTTAGAGGCATGGATTCAACACTTTTTAATTCCCTTTTTCAACCTATGTCCAAAAATTTAACTACCACCTCCGGTACTTGGTCTCGCCTGGAAGTCGAACCTTAGAAGGGGGGTAGTGTTACAATACACAATTTTTGGACCTTTAATTTTCATTCTCCTCTTCAACTTTCTTTTGTAGTTTTCACACACTGTGCCATGCGGCACTTTCCATCTTTGTTCAAACTCCACCTTCTTGCACTGCGCTGCCTTTTTCTTATTTTTAGCTACAAGTCTCTCATGCAGTGGAGCTGGTCACACGGGCTATGCCCCAAGACATCATCAGCCACTGCCTCCATCAACTGTATAGTACATATATACAAACAAACACTGTAGTAGTATATAAACCTCAATGGATCCAGGAGACTCCTCAGTGAGTCCTCCTGTTGTTTACCCACAACTAACTTGGTCGCATCTTAAGGGGTAACCACTCCCTCTCATTACTCTTCTTGCTTGTCTGAGTTGTGCGCCAGAGTAACTAACTCATGGTTGTAACACCCAGGCCCTCCAAACCAGCTGCAAGGCGACAAACCGTAGCCTTTCAGGAATCAACAACCAGGCCCGGGCCCTCCAAACCAATGCCCAACCCCATCCTGGCTCCTTCTATCTCGGGGCAGCAATCTGTAGGTGTAGAAGAAGTGGACAAGGACAGTCCCCGGCATTCTTCTATTACACACAAGTCTCAGAGGAGGTTCTTTGCTGGGTTATGTACTGAGGAGGAATACCTGAAGTTGGTGGATGCAGTGTACCAACTACCAAAAGTCAAGCCCGGGCCCGGCTCCCAGAGTAATGGCCAGCCAGAGGATTACTTGGACTACTGGCTGTCATGAGCCTCATGGGGCTATGTCCACAACATAATTCCATTGGAGATCCATCAAGGCAATGGAACTCAAAACCTGTTGAGGTGGCTCCACGTGCAGCCTTATCTACATTGCCTGGGGTCCCAGGACAGCCACACAGATATCAGGGGCCATACAGCTATGGCCCTGATATATTTGGCAGTAGGAATGCTGCTCCGGGACCTTCATACAATCCAATTTGCTGATGAGGACAACAACCTGACATAGTTATAGATTGAGTTTGCCATGGTGGGTGAAACTATCCTCCCATTCTGCAGGGACATAACCACCGCAATACAAAACAGCTTGGAATCTACCCAGGATGGTGACAAGGGCAATGCAGATGGATGGGGAACCCAGGAACATTGCACACAGGCCAAGGTCAGGTAATAGTCCAGTAAAGCAGCTTCAACAAGCCAAGGACACCAAGGTAGATCAGACACTAAAGGTAAAGAAACCCAGGAGGCATTGAATAGTAGGTACACCCACCTCTTGTACAGTAATGTAATAAATGTACATAATAGCCCTGGGTTTAAAATGTGTACCTGGGGATGTGAGCGTTATAGTCATCCCGGGTTTAAGAAGTGTATTTGGGGATATGAGTGTTGTAGTTGTCCCAGGTTAGATGATCTTACAGCCCGGCTGAACAGATCATAGATCACTTGGCTATAGACCATTCCCAGGAAATGTTTCCATATTGCCGAGCATCACTTACCAATAGCTTATCAATGTGTTGAAGTTAGACAGGTTGATGGGGCCCGGGGTAGAGTTCTCAGACTTGTTTCTTATCACACATTATCACACTAAGATTGTAGTGTAGGTAGCTCAATTTTATATGGATCAAGTAATTAAATGTACACTGAGTGGTGAGTGAAGAGAAACTAAGTATATGCAAATGAAATCTAGAAAAAAAATAATTTATATTACAAGTCCATTGAACTATGATTTCATCTAATTGTACTCCCTCTCCTTCGCTTTTAACTTTGCTACCTCATCCTCCAGCTGGCTAATCCTCTCATAGAGATCCCCAATGATCCCCTGCCTTCATTTCATCCTTGCTACCCTTTTTTCTAAGGAAGGAGGCAGACTCCACTGCTGTGTTGGGGATGACCATTGTACGTGGCTGGGAACTGGGGATGTAAAGCTGAAGTTAATGAGGTCCCAACCATCACTTTGAGGAGCAACAGTGATAGGGACATCACCTCCCAGGGGTGTATGAGGCCTTGGTGGCTGAGACAAACCCCCTTGTTGGGCCTCAAAAGGCCAATAAGTTGGAGGCCTGGGGGACGGACGAGGGGTTCCAGGAACATCCAAAGGTATTTATTCCCACCTGAATGGGTTGGGAGAGCCAGGAGGAGAGATTGGGGTGGGACGGAAAGGTGGGGATGGGAATTCAAAGGGAGTGTAATGTCCGGGGGGGCATCAACAGCCTCCCGGGGACAAATGAGAAGGGGGCTGGGGGATGGCAATGGCAGCCTTGCCATGACATCCAAAACCTCTCTGGCAAGAGAGGGGATGGCCTCCCTCATCCTGGTGATCCAGTCAGGGCCGGGATGGATTACATTAGCATCCATCTCCCTGGGGAGGCCTCCTTGACTCCTGTGATGGGGCTGGCGCTTGTAGAGGGGGAAGAGGGTGTGAAGGGCGTGAAGCAGGTAGGGAAGTGTGGTGAGCAGGAGCCACAACTACTGCTCGTGAAGGAGGGGGGACCCTGATTGTGAATTGGGTCCCGGTCGTTCCATGGGGCTGGTAGACCAGCTTGGGTGCTCCCCGGGGCAGCCCAATCTTGATGGGATGGTTGGGAGCGGCAACCAGAGCCCTTGACACTTCTGGCTTCCAGGACCTGGCTTGCATCATTGTCCCAGATGCACTTGTACTTCCTCGGCTGCACTTGTTACAGGATGTCCTCCACTTCTTTGTCTGCTTACTCCTGCTTATGGTGCAGGCAGACTGGTCCAGCCTGCACCGCTTGCACCCCTCCTCCATGCTCTTCCTCTGCAGATCCTCTACACCCCTGGTAATCTCTACTACCATCTTTCCCTTTCCCTTGCTGGTTGGAGGTGCTACGGGGTCCGGGCGCTGACCACCAGAAGCCTTGGGGCCAGGGCAGGTGTGTGGGAGGCAAAATGGCCTTGAGGGCCCCGGAACAGGGGGTAGAGATGGGGAGCGTCGGGACGGAGCTGCCCTCTTTGCCTTCTTTGACAAAACAATGGGCATGCGAGAAATGTTGCACTTTTGTTTGCATGTGGTGGGCACCAAGGGGCTTTCAGAATGTGCTGGCTGGATGGGCATTGTGGTGCATTTACGAGGACACTGTGAAAAGAAACAGCCAATAAGTAGTTGAAAAAGCATGAAAAAATAAGGAACTCACTTTGCAACCACCACCTATTGTCCAGAGCCTCCCTCCTCTCAGGAGTCGGTCTCCCAGGCTCAAACTATGATCACAAAAATGGAGTTGGTCCTTCCCATTATCATATTGGATGATAAGGAGGATACATGTGTAAAAGTGTAATATCCCACAGCTGGCAAGGTTATATGTATGGACTAGACTTTGCATAAAAGGCAGAGAAGAGAATTTCTCTGTTTGTATGGAGACAAAGACTTAGGACTGGGGGAAATGGGAGATGTAGTGATGAGAGAAAATGGTGACCATATTTTCTCTCCTTTTGCCTCTGGGATGGATTGGAGGGCTATACAAGAAGGCATAGGCCACAATTCATTTGATCATCTGTTGGGCATTCCAGGTGTCAGTGATCTTATTTTTTTCATGTACCATGCTCTTTATATATAAATATAGGTCAAGGAAATACTTGAATTATCCTATCACAATATATGTAGATTACACAAGATTATTAATACTGACATAGCAGCAAGGGCTGAATGTAAATCAGCTACAGTCACCTTTCCTGATACTCCTAGTGATAAACATATTATTCAAAATAGGGATGTCCTCTCAGCAGTCAGAACTCTTCTAAGAAATCCTGCACATGCAAAGTATATTGTATATTATTCTAAAAATATATTCACCAATACAAAGAATGAGTCTAGGATATACCATGAAATATGAACAGGTAAATGGTGGCATACATTACAGGTAAGCACATGTCTGCTTATCTATCTATCTTTAACTGACTGGCTTTTGGATAAGCTCATCTTCCACCTGGTACTGCTTTGGCTATTGTTATTATTGCTACAGATAAGACACAACTCACTCAGTTTTCCAACTCAAAACCAGCTTATCCCGCCTACCTCACATTGGGAAAAACACCAAGAGCCATAAGTTGCAAGCCAGGTTGACAGGTTTGTAATTTGCTGATCAGCAGGAGCAAACCCAAACCCTAATGTTAACTCTAACTCTAACCAAGCCCGGCTGTTATGCTTGTATTCTCAAAGGCTATCTGTCTGTCCACAAGGTCATGGGATCACAAGTCACTGCAAATGAGAAGTCATCCAGAACTCAATGTCTTTTTCATGAGTCAATGTGTTGTATACTAGACGTTTTGAAGCTAACTGGTGTGGAAGGGATGTATATAATAGGAGGAGATGGAGCTATGCTGAGAGTCTATCCTGTGTTAGCATGCTACATTGTAGATTATCCAGAGAAATACTTTGTGACATGTGCAAAATATGGAATATATCCAAATGTAAAAGACCTGCCTCTAATTTATCAGAGCCTACACCTGGGGAGGCTTTTACGCAAAAGTGGACAGAGCAAATTATACAAGATGCAAAAGCCAATTTATCTTCCCTCAATCAATTCCAAGAACAGTGCAAGGATTACGAGGTTTCTGGAGGTGTTTACAAACCATTTTGGCTGGATTTTCCTCATTGTGACATCAATTAAACTATTTCACCTGACATCCTTCACCAGCTATATCAAGTAGTATTTAAACATATAGTAAATTGGTACAAGAACCTCATGGATCCAGAGGAGCTCAATCACAGGATTTCCGCACTTCCTCCCTGCTATGGCGTTTATCACTTCAAGAATAGAATCTCTACTCCAGGTCAGATAGGAGGTATTTGGGATTATAAGAGATCCCATGCATATAATTTTATGTCCCAAGAACATTTACATAGCCTATAGTCTACTATCTGTTCATGGTACAGGATGGGATAACCCAATGCATCATAACTGCTATAATCTACATTGACCACTCACACATAAAGATAATATAGACATATTTACAGGAGGGTCCAGAGCACCTGTAGCATTATGACTGTGACTGAGGTTGGGTCATGATCATTACTTACACTGGTTCCATGGATGCACCTCATGTTACCATTACTACTGATATTTTCATAATGCCCCTTGCTACATGTGCAGGCCTTCTCTCATCATTATCACAGATTTTTCACTTTGGGTTGTACTTACACAGGGAAAATAGTTGCACCCAGATGACCTACAAGTGTTTTAGCAGTAGCATAAAGTGCAGCCACCAGCCCAAGATCTGAATTAACAACAGACATGCTATGCACTGTATTTGTTAAGATTCAACAATAAATTAACTCACAAACCTGGCTCTTCAATGGGAAAAGCCAATATACTATTGAGAAGACAAGATCATGCTGAAGGCATCAAATTGGACAATAAATATGTAGTCCTTATAGATCCAACAATGGTAGCTGATGTTAAAATCAGCCAAGATAGCAATCTTCTAAGAGTCTTCAGGAAAGACATGTCATCAGAAGAGAAAAGTGCCTTGATGGTATTAAAACTTATTTATGAAAGTATGGGCTCTTTCATTATAAGGGCAAAATCTATGTATCTGGTCTGCAAGGATCAAAGTCATAGTATTAAACGCAATGTTTGTTTTGATGAAATGAACACATCAAATGTTGGCATATCATGGACACTACTATATATTTTCCATTCTTTCATTCGTTTTCATTCAACTATTCCGACATTTTGATACATTACATAAATTTCCTAATTAGGATACAGAAAAGTGCACTCATCCTACCTTAGACACCTCAGTCATTTACCAGAAAGACTGAGGTATAGTAACATCATTATTACAGTTAAACACATACTTACACATTCCTTTAGAGTTTTTTCATTTACAGGTACATTTGAATAATATATCAGTCATTTACCAGAAAGACTGAGAGTCTTTTCATTTACAGTTCTATTCATCACCTCAGGTTATGAGCCCTGGTGACATGTCTTTCACCAACAATGCTTCGAGTGCTACATTTTAAGTACCTAAACTAGCAAAGGATGGTTCGAACTGGATCACATACAAAACAAGAGTCACTACTACTTTCAGAGCAAGAGGACTATCTAGATTCCTACTAGGATCTGCCAGGAAGCCACCTGTCAAAAATTACAACTATTACTCGGCAAGTGTAGCTAAACTGGATGATGGAACGGTAATGACTGAAAAGCAAATAGAGGAGTATGAGGCTAAAGTGGACAAATATGCCCAAAAGGAATGCCTTGTCACACAACAACTATACTCAACCATACACAACGAGACCTTAATCCAGATATAGGACAGGAGCTCAGCAGTTGCAATATGGGGCACTCCAACCAAAATGCACAAAGGCAAGTCAGGATGCAAATGGATATTTGACGAAGGCTGCAGGACCTTAGATATCCTGAAAGCAGCAATATCAGGAGCCACTTGGGGGATGTGCTAAGGCTAAAAGAAGAGTTAGCTGGCATGGGTGCTTCGGTAGATGAAAAAAACTTTTCAGCAATGATACTGTCTTTGCTACCAATTTCTTACCGCCCTCTACTATCATCAATCACTGCTGCAGCTCGCATCTCAAAACACCCACTATCTTCGGCAGACTTGATTATTCACATCACCAAAGAGGCAGACCACAGAAGCATAGCCTAGAAACCCAAAGGGGAATCTGCTATGGCTGTTAAATTATATTCAAAGATGACAAGGCAAGAGAGACACAAATACTTCAAGTGTTTGAACCCCAAATGTGTGAGGCAACTTTAAACTATAACAAAATCAATAACCGTCTCCACCTGCACTTGCAGGGAGTAAGAGGTTCAATGAGCTCGAGGTCAACAGATGCTAGTAAATATAGCAAGTAAAGGACTTGGGAGTAAACTCAAGGATTTTGGTTGAGGAGTAAAGCGGGTAAATCAAGTAATAGAAAGCTAAAGAACTATACATGAGATGTGTAGGGTTTATATAGCTAACCGTCCATCCTTCAGATCAAAAGAGGAATAAACAAAAAGTGGTCTGAGGAATAAATCAATCAATAAGAAAAAGGAATAACTATCGTACAACTTTGAATGATTAATCAGCAGGTGAGAGAGTTGTACTAAAAATAGGTGTTGTCACGCCTGTTCAGGAACCGTATCCTCATGATGAAGTACGATCCTGACTAAAGTGTCTATTAGTATATCCAGGCACTGATGGGGCTTGGAGCTGGTTGGCAAGATGCCTACTACCAGTCCCTACCCATTGTGCTGGCTAGCTGGGAGCAATACCCAGTCTCTGATCTGTGATATAAAGTGGTAGCAATGGTTGAGAAAGCCTGTGAGGGCTATGGGAAGTAAAATAGCAAACAATACCTCTAGCCCTAGAGCTTGAGGTGTAATGGGAAAAGTGTTTGAGAACCAAGACATAGAGAAGATAAGAAAATAATAAAATGGTCTTTACAAAATGCCCCATTAAAACGGGCCATACAGTTGAATACTGTTATGCGCCGGGTGGTGGAAAGGAGGGCCAACGTCCTCAAAGCCGAAAACCTACCACTAAAGCACCGGATACAAATCCTCCTGCCCCAGCTGCAAATGTTGCTACCACACAAAGTGTCACAAACGATGAAGTATATGCATTCATTGCAACAGCCTCTTGAGCATCTTCATCAAATCCATCATACAATGCTCTGGTAGACTGTGGAGCCAGCAATCATTACTGTCCAGACAAGCACCTGTTTGAAAGCATCAGCCACATTGATCTTATCCCAATCTCATTAGCAGATGGCCAAACTATGTATGCCAGTGGAAAATGCACAATCATGATCAATCTCCCAAATGGGACAAGCTATTCTCGTGTGCAATTGCGAGAAACACTATATTGCCCAGAAATGGCCCAAACACTCATCTCAGCCAGTTGTATGGATAGTGCTGGATATGCTATACACATCGAGAACGGTGCATGCATGATAAAAACTCCACTACCACAATGGAAAGTCATTGCTATAATACCACAATCTGAAGGACTGTATCAGCTCTCGAAAACAGACATATGTGGCATGCACCAAGCAAATGTAGCAAATCAAAGGCTAAACGTGAATGAACTCCATAGAAAGATAGGTCA